TGGGGAACCCATAAATCTAGTGCAAGTTGTCAACCAAGTGAGCTATTGAATCTTTGTTTACAATCTAGGTATCATATTGTTTTATCGTTTTACAAAAGGTTCATAAAAAATAAATATGTAGTTTTTTTGTGCAAGTGTGAATTTGTATTTATGAACTTTTAAAATAGTTTTAAAAATTGAGAATTATTTAATTTTTATTTGAAAATAAATACTCTATAAATTTTATAATTTAAAAGTTGTTGTCTTTAAAAATCAAGTAATATTTATTAATTATAATTTAATATGCTATATTTTTTACTTTTCAATCATTTTAATCAACTAAATATTAACTTTAAAATGTCATATGTATATAAGAATAAAATATATAGTCTTTAATTTTTGAAAATATGAGTATCACCTTATTATTTAAGTATTTGTTAGAGATTCAATATTAACTTTTGATAATAATAAAAATAATAAAATAAAAATAGAAGGTGTGAAATATCATTATTATAATAAAAAATAGATGGAGAAATAATAACATAAATTAAAATATTTTATTAACTAAAAATATATAATATATTATAAAATATTATTATTATAAACATAGTTGACCGAGTCGTTGACCCCCGGTTAGACCGGTTCGACCGGTCAACCCTTGACCCACTACTTCGTCCGAGTCGACGTCCGGTCCGATTTTCAAAACATTGATATATAGAGGAGATAATTTTTTGTAAATAGTTAGTCCAACTTAGAAACTAAATCACCTTAAATATACATATGGATGTCACATGAGAATTTAAGAAAAACAATGTTTTCAAAGTCGGACTGACCACTTGGTCCAACCGGTCGGACTGTGACCCGCATAGGCTTCCGGCTTGGTCTCATACAAAAACCTGTTTACCTAAGAAAAGAAGAGGTAATTTGATGTACACAATGAGTCGGATTGGTATGACCTTCAAAAACGAAAAAAATCATGTCATTTCTCTAAAAATTGTACGATTTTATATAATTACTCATAAATTCAATAAATGACATCGTTGTTCGAAAATTTTTACTCCCTCCATTTAAAAAGGAATGTCACAGTTTACGATTCAAAAATTATAAGAATTTTATTTATTTGTACGTTTTCAGCAATTATTTAATAAAATAAAATATTCTTCTCACGTCTTGTTTTGAATAATTTTTTATGTAGTTTTTATATATGTAAATTTTACTTTTTTATATCAATTTTTAAATAGAATTAATTTAAAAAACTCAAAATTTCAATTTATTTTGCGTAATGTGGCCAACGTCTTAAGGCGGAGTTATCCCTGGTAAGATCTGCGCATACACTTTTCCAAAACCCTATTTTTGTGTGATTTTCTTGAGCTTGTTATTAGTTATTTGGTGTTATTACTGTTATAACATTGGTCGGACCACTGATTCAACGCGGGAACGCTGGCATAACCTAAGCATATATCAATTTTCAGAGCACGAATATAAACATATACTACGGTATAAGAGTAAAAATTTGGAGAGAAACAATTTCATTTATTGAATCTGAAAGTAATTATGTGAAATTATGCCATTCTGAAATTAATAATTTAAATTTTCATTCCAAAAAAAAACAAAACTGATTTCATCATGAAATCTTCTTACCTAAGTAAAATTGTGATTTAGCATTAAAAAGAGTTCTTAATTTACTCTTATGTGCAGTCGGCGCCGGCAAACTCACCAAGCTTTCATTTTGATCAATGATTGAACATAATGGTCAACAACAAGTCAACAATATCTTATACGGAGTCAATGGTTGAACCGTCAATTTTTGTGCACACCAAACTCCTTCCTAAAAAAAAACATTATAATAGTTACTCCATATATTATCACTAATCCAAAATATTCATTGAATTTGATTTTTTATGATAATGTATGTGTTCATGATTTGTGAATTGAACTAGGCATGAATCTCTAAACTATTTCTTCGTTGTTAAATCTCTTCTCATTGACCATCCGACCGAGTCTGAAGAGAGTCTCGGAAATAAAACTCATCCTTTTTTTCTTCATTGTTAAATCGAGTGCAGTCCAATCAATGAAAAAAAGATAAAAAAGAGCACTATATTACTCCCTCCGTCCCTGAGTGCTTGTCGACTTTCATTTTTGCACACCATCCAATGCACTTCTTTAATCCATTTTATCTTGTAATTTGTATATTAAAAATTATAAAAATTATATATTATTAATCTATATGTTAAGACGAATCAAATAAGATCACACATGACTATTTTTAGGCTTACACATTGAGAGAATTTGATGAGTCAAAGTGCTTAGATGAACAGTTCCAAAAGTCAAAAGTGGACAAACACTCAGGGACGGACCAAGTATGTGAAATTAACCATGTATAATAACCGGATACTTAAACTTAACTTGTTTATAGTACCGAGTATTTAATAGTCAATAAAACTTGACAGTAAGATTTTTATACCAAGTTTATCACAGACACACACAGACAATAATTGTTTATATAATATAAAGATATTTATTGTCAGTGATACACTTGGTGTACTCCTAGAACTACTCTTTAATATTAATCTTTTTATCTTATAAAAATTTTAAATTCACGGAATTTAAAGTATTTGTTGAAAAATAAAAAAAATGTTTGATTAAAATTTGTATAGATAAGATAAAATTGTTTTAAATAAGTGTAAAATTTGGTTTGAGAGGTCCAAAATCCAATTTTATCATTTTCGTAACCTCTTTTGGGCTTCTTTTTCCGGGCCTTTATTTCGTATGTTTGGGCCATGCCCTACCGTGTGATTGATTGCTCTGTTAGCTTATTCGGATACGGGTATAATACGTCTATTGGTACATTCGTGTTTAATACGGACGACTTTTTTAAAATACGTCTTATTATACGTTTTATACGTTCGGAGTACGTATACGGATACATTCGCGTATTATACGTTTGATTTTTCAAAAATACGGCTTATAATGAATGCATATATTTTTACTAAGAAACACATGCATTTTAAACTTCGAAATTCAATACAAATACATCATAAAGTTCTAACAATTTAACGTAACCAACACTACGATTTATTGTTTATTTTTCCATGTGTACCGAAAGGAGATCTTATAATCTAATTATTATTCTGTACTTCCAAATAATGCATTCAAAGTAAGAACACATTCTTAAAAATGAAGCCAACATTTAGATATGAATAAAGCATTTAAAACATGACAAAAATTATATTATTAGATAATTTATGTTTTACAAAATTGATTAAATATTTATCATGAATTTAATACTTTACACAATTTAAAGTTGAGTAAAATTAAATTTAGTTTATATTTTTTATTTTTAGAATACAAAATATAGTTACGAACTTAGATTTTTTGAATTTAGATCATACAATAAAATCAAATTTGTATTTTTTAAACGTGGACAAATATTTAATATTAAGAACTAATACAAAAAATTGATCACATTTTCAAAATCTAAACAAATAGAGAAAATGTTGTTGTCTACTATTCGCTAGTGCAGATGCAATGTTGGACTTTCAGCCGGACGAAGTCGAAGAGACTGGTAGAGTGTTTGTAACCTTTTATTAACAAAAGATATTTGTGGATGACTTGAACTACGATCTGACTTTTAATACTTTGAGTCACCAAATTTTAAAGATTTGTATTTTTGCAGAAATACAATCAAGTTATTTGATCTCATCTGAATTTGACCCTAATGATTTTGCAATATAATACGTATAAAATTCGTAAATACATTTGAGGTTAAAAATACGTGTATTATACGTTCGTCCCATTAAAAATTCGTATTCGGGAGTATAATACGTGTATCATACGTACGGGTGTATAATACGCGTATTATACGCGAATCAGCTAACAGAGATTGATTGTATAATCAAATCTCCCGATCTTATTATCGGGCCGTATCTCTAACTCGTAGTATTGGACCTATTTCCGACCCATTTTTGAACAACTCTAAACACAAAAGTTTAACACTAGAGGAGTTGCTCCAAACTACATCAGTTAAAAAATTATCTTCTCGTTCAGTGTTCAGTGTTCAGTGTTCACATGGTCAAATATTATTTATTTTATTAGCTTATTTTTGTTTTCTATTCGATAAAATAATGTAATTATGTTACCTCTAATTCTGAAAATCTTTTGATGTAGTTCTTCAAATATGTATTTTTATTTTATTTATTTTGCATCATTTTTCGTATAAAATAATTTGAAAATAACTTCAACCAACATTGTAATGTACAACGAAAGGATATTTTTTGGACAAGAGAAGTAATAACTACTATCTCTCCCTAAAAAATTGCCACATTTTACTTTTTTTGTCAAACCGTGGCATCCATTGACCACGAATTACATATAGTTTAAAATAATTAACTATTATAAAAATTTAATATTTCAAAATTATTGTTCATAATTCATAGTCAAAGGGTGCTATAAATTACTCGTAACTAATAAAAATTAAAACATGACAATTCTTTTAGGGAGACAGAAAATATGAAAGATATCAAAAAGTGTAATAATTTGATGGAAGTAAGGTGGAAGGCAGCTACGCAAGTAATGACATTCACCGTCAAAAAAATTGTCAAAGAAAAGTGGAAAGTGAAACAAAAGGACAATCCAAACATGGCAAAATATATATAATGGATAGAGTGGCTGCTTATAATCATTAACCCTTATTGTTAAGTCATAAAATGTCGTATTTTATGCCTTCATTTTTTAGTAGTTTTAATATATTTAATATGCATTTTATACCTAAATGAGCATATTTTCTAATATTTAGCATTTTAGGCCATTGTTTACATTTTATACATAAAATGCATGATTTTGAGCATATTTATATTTGATAATTAATTTGGAGTCCTGATCTAAGGAAGATAATGGAATTGGGCCTATGGAACAAAAGCAATGGGAGAAGAATGAAGTTAGGACCAAGCCCAAAGATGTATTTGATCCACCACCCTTTTGACTCAACCAATTATTGAAGCAAGCAAATAAATNAACGGAAGGCGCAAGAAACAGAGTCCTTCCCCAAATCCAACGCAAATTCCAAGAATCCTACTCCAAATTGAAGATTCCAAACTTCACAATTATAAAAGGAGACAAAAGCCACAAGAAAAATCATCTCCTTCAACCCCAACTCTAGAGGGAGATCGAGAGACAGATCGGGAGCAGAGCAGGGGGCCGGCCTAGGGTTCCGACCCCTAGGCCCGGCAGTCCAGCGGCGCGATGGTGGCTTGAATTCCGGCGATGGTGATTCCGACGGCGGCTAGGTCCAGTGCGGCTGAACTCAGCGGTTTCTTGGCTTCGTACAGTGAGCAGAGGCAGAGGACTCAGGGGAGTGTTCATCAGTTTATTCTTTTTACTCCGTATTTTACTTTACTCTTTTTTAAATTAGGATCTTGAATTCACTAATTTACAATTGATGAATTTGAACATCCATATTAAACATATTTATTTTCTATTCCAATTTTTGTGATAAATGTTTAAGTTATAATATAAGTGATGAATTGTTTAAGCGTTGATGTTTAATTGTTCAAGTTATGATTTATTGATTGATTATTGTCTCTGAATTATAAAACCTTCTTAGGCCAAATTATTTGACAAAAAAGGATTAAATCTTTGATTTAATTGTTCTTGTTGAATTAATTTGTCTTTGAAGAGATTTTAGCTCTATGCTACTGATAAATCTAAACTCAAAAAGGTGTTCTGAGAACTATTATTCACCAGATTTTACTTAAATTGAACCAAATTAGGACTGCAGCCTAATCCAATTTAAATTGATATTCTTTTAAAGTCCAAAGTGCTTTAAATAGCCGAACTTTTCTAGAAACTAAGTGTCACTTGATTAGTACTTGCTGCCTCGTTAAGTGGTTTTTGCTAATCAAGGTTCTCGAACTGATTTTGTTAAATAACCGTAGTGTTACTGCAAAGTTGTTATGGTGATGTTTTCCACAAATCTTAATGCGCTATTCTTAGTAGTAACTTAAGGGTTGGTCTTTGGGTTGCTAAGGGTAGTAGGATTTAAAGTTAGGGTTGGTCTTAACATGAGCTAATATGAATGGGAAAATAGGGAAGAACCGTTGGTGGATCTCTTCTTCAGCCTAACCCTGAGTTTAATTAGCAGTTTAATTTCAGAATCAAGACATGATTAATTAGTGAATCATATTTGTTCAATTTATTTTCTATTAAAAACTATAAGTATTTTCAAAATGGTTTAAGTTAATTATTATTGTCTACGTTTTATAAAGTTTATTGTGAGATTGTGTTTGTGTGTTAGTTTTCTCCCTGAGTGTTCTTCTGAGTTCGAGTTGCTGCTGTGGTTCCATCCCTAGACTGTTATCCGTATTTTTATTTTATTTGCATTTTTATCTTCTTTTTAGAATTATCAGTCAAACCCCCCATATCTTTTAGATTTAGTTATTTAGTTTTAGTTAGTTTTTAGTCAATAAAAGTGACAAAGTAAATTGATTTTCATAGCTTAAAAAATATCTTTCCTCGTGGGATCGACCCTTACTTGCCCTATCTATATGTTTTAATCAATATTAATGCATAAAGGGGGTTAAGAGTTAAGGAAAATAATTAATTAATTTGTAGGTGCTACGACACGCCTATCACTTATAATAATCATCAATTTAAAAAACAAAGAATTACAGGAATTTTTTATTCAGTTCATTATTCACTCAAAAGTAAAACATTTTAATAATACTCGAAGAAGTAACTCTTTTAGCCATATTGTCCACGTACAAATTGAGTATTTGGCATGTTTTAATTTAAAACTTTAAGGAGTAATAATTTAATGTGTGGGGGCTAAATCCACATTGCCAATTTAATGTTGTGTTTGAGAAGTTGAATTTAGATTTCAAATCCAAATTTGATCTAAATTACTTGTTTGGGAACACAAATAATTTGAATTTGGACCAAATTTTTCTAATTCAAAGCTAACATAACTATAACTCCACACTCTTCACCTGTCATTTACAAATTCAAATTCATTTTTCTCTAATTTAAAACTTGTAATTAAAAATTGACCTTCCCTTATATAATAACTATTGCATACATAACAATCCGCTTTCGTTATCGTCTTTGCCGACTTCAAAATTCAAATTCTAGAATTAAAATTCTATGACTTCCCAAACAACATATGGAATTTGGAATTATGAAATTTTAAATCTTAGAATTGAAATCTAATACTCCCTCTGTCTGGAAATTTACTTCTCATTTGACTTTTTACGGTATTCAAGATTGCAATTTAACTATTAATATCTTTATTTATACATAGATATATTTTGTAAAAATTTAATATTTGAAAACTATATATCAAAAGGAATATATTCATATTAAAGTTAAATCGTGATACAATGTATTTTTTCCATATATCATAGTCAAAGTTTATAAACTTTGACAAAAAAAAGTCAAATGAGAAGAATATTTCCGGACGGAGGGAGTATTTCAAATGAAATGTAGTTCCCAAACACTACCTAAATTCATTGTTTTATGTTAATTTATGATCAAAGATACTTAAAAAATCAAAATATGAAGAGTTTTTAAGACTGAATGGAATATCAAAATTTTCAACGTTTCCCAGTAATTTTAGCAAGCTAACCGTAAATCTTTTATAATGCAATTACTATAAATGGAATCACAAGTTTCTTATATGGGGTAAATATGGAAAAACAATAAACTCAACCTTTATTAATTACTAAAAGAATGAAATAAAGACAATCACAATTAGAGGTGGCAATCGGATCAACCGGATCGGTTTCGGGTTGGATTTTTTCGGTTTGGATATCTTTCGGTTATATGTTATAATCGGTTCAGTTCGGATCGGTTAAATTTCGGTTCGGATTTGATTTCGGTTCTATACATTTTTCGGTTCGGTTCGGTTTCGAGTCGGTTCAGATACGGTTCGGTTATAAATCAGTTCGGATACAATTTGAGTCGGATATATTTCGGTTTCGGGTCTAGTTCGGTTCGGATATATTTCGGTTTCGGATCCCTTTTGACTTTTTAGTCATATTTTACAAATTTGGACTACAAATTATGAAAACATATATATTTAATTATGATATAAATTTAATATAATTAAATTGATTTTAAAATTTAGTTTTGAAATATAAAATTTTTCTCACATCTACTAATATACCTATGTATTGGAGTATATAAATGAAAGGATAAAAGATAAATTCAAATAGTCTTATGTTCCATTTGAATAGAATTTGGTAAAAATTGAGTAAAATTGGGTGAAATTAAGTGTATTTTATTCAATTGAGTGCAAAATTTGTAAATTATTGAGTATATTTTGTTGAAAATAGAGAAAATTAAATTTAATTGAGTCAAATATAATTAATTTTACACCTAAATGTAATGGTGTAGATCAAATTTGAAAATGATAACTGTAAAGGCTGCCGCTAGAGAGTTTTTTAAAATGCTAACACTAGCATCTAATTTTATTGACTAATATTGAGTAAATTAGTTTGAAACTAATCAAATTAACTCTCAAATCAATAAAATTTATTGTAATGAGATGAAATTAGGATAAAATCTAATTATTCCATACAATTCATCATATATATTTCTTTCGTCCCAAAAAGAATATCACACTTCACTATTTAAAAATTACGGAAATTTTATTTGTTTGTGCGTTATCATTTATATGTATAACTTATCTTTAATTTCTACATATAATAAATTTAAGGCATAAAAATTTATACTTTTTTTCAAAAAGATAATCCATTTTATGAGGGAATGAGCAAGTAATGTAACTAGTTCAAATGGTAAAATAAAAGTAAAAATTTAAAAATATAATATGCTTATTGAAAGGTAAACATTGTTCTGAATTTATCGATTTTAGTTCTAATCGGGTTCGGATATTATCGGTTTTAGATCTAATCGGTTTCGGATTTTATCGGTTTCGGGTATTATCGGGTTCGGATCTAATCGGTTTCGAGTTTAATCGGTTCGGATATTATCGGTTTCGGATTTAAATCGGATATGAATTATTTAGTTCGGTTTCGGTTCGGTTCGGATCATTTCGGGTTTTCGGTTATAGATCGGATCTTCATTTTTCGGATCATTCCGGTTTCGGTTTCGGATATTTCGGTTCGGGTAATCGGTTCCGGTTCTGTTTTGCCACGTCTAATCACAATAATACACTTCTTGATCTGGGCTCTCTCCCAGTCAGTCTATTGTCAGTTACTACGTTTTTATCTTCTTGTGAACACCCAAAAGTATTGAAGCTTTGGTTTACAAAAGGAATGGAGCAAAAATCTGTGTTTGTTTCTGTTGCAGTTGCAGAGAATATTATCCCACTCAATAAGGTATATTTCTTTCTCTTTTGCTATATGCATTTACATAATTAGGGGTACAAGCTTGACTCTAAAATTATCGTAAATCATTTGATAAAATAAAATATTCTTGTCACTGATTATTTGATATATACATAACTTTTGATTTACTTTTGTCCCAGGTTAATCTTCTTCTTTCCTTTTTTGAAAATTTTATTGTAGCTTGTCTTTTTTCTCTCTCCTCTGCGTTACTTTCAACCACACAATTTTACTTTTCTCAAACTCTCTGTAAAGTCAAATTAGAAATATTTAATTCGGTACGGAGAGAATATAAAACAAGAACTTATATAACTATTTTCTTATCCATGAAATTTGCAGCAAGAAGAGATGGAGGAAGGCACACTAATCTCAGAGGGTGAGGCTTCAACTTCTTCAATAGCAAGAGAAAATCCAATCCACTCTATAACAGAGATCCACAAGGAAAGTGATAGCCACAAGTCTATTGAACATTTTGAATTACATGTAAGTTTTTTTTATATTACAACTATTTGTTTTTCATTTTTGTGCAGATTGGACCAAAAAGAGTTCCAACTTTAAATTCACTAAGTTCAAAAAATGTTGAAAATCAGAAATGTGAAGCTGAAATTTGCAAGAAGAGAGAAAAATGTTACTATGTTTTCTCACAATATAAATTCACGAAATTCAAGAAAAATATTCGAACTGAAAGTGGTAATTTTTGCAACGTTTCTTATAATTTCCCACTTATTAGCTTCTCGAAATTTAAGAAAAATGTTAGATAAAAAGCGTAACAGAATCTATAAGTAGACAGCTAAATCTATAAGTGTATATATATATTAGTGTAACAGAATATGTACAACTAAGGTCCATTTTCCCTTTTAGACGTTTGAAGGCAAGAAGCATATAAAGCGCTCGCTATCAGTTCCTGCAAATGTTAACACTAAAAGCTTAAAAAGGACTGGTTCTTCCCGGCATTTGATCCGTGTTATATCTGCATCCACTCGGTTGAACGCCGATAACAATGCATTCCCTCCTAATAAGCTACTATTACCACAAACGAACAACGGTAATATCAATCTCTCTTTTCTCACACCTTGTTAGTGGTATTATTGTGGTTCGTTTGCCTCGTACTTTTGTTCTCAAGATGGTTTTTTTTGAGGAATTTATATAAATAGCACTAAAACATAATGACTTTTCCTAAATATCATTAATGCATTTTTCCCAATGTAGCACTTTTAGTCATTATTCAAGTAAATGTTCGCTATCACTGGACATTATGGACATTATTAAGTGCTATTCAGGGTATAAAATAGTTTAATTGCTATTTAGATAAATAACTTTAGTTTTAGAGCTATTTAGTTTAATTGCTATTTAGATAAATATTTAGTGCTAGAGATGTGTCGGGGGAAGACATTATTGCAGAGGAAGAAGGCGTTTGTAGGATTTGTTTTGAGGAGCTCGGAGAAGGAGGAGAGGCGTTCAAAATGGAGTGCAGTTGCAAAGGGGGTCTCGCGCTTGCCCACAACGAGTGTACGTTGAAGTGGTTTGGCATTAAGGGCAACGCGGTTTGCGACGTTTGCAAGCGCGAAGTACGAAATCTTCCCGTTACGCTGTTGAGATTACAAACCTTTGCTTCAACAAGTGTTGTAAGAAGGCCAATGGTTGAGCCTAGACAAGAGCAACATGATGCTTATCTCCACAGGCATGTTTGTTCTTATGTGAAACCAATATGCGCTTCTCATTTGTAGCTATTCGCTCGCTCTGTTTACTAAAATTGTTCATCTTTCATTTTTGTCTTTTTCACCAAACATTTTTATTTTCTACTCCGTATTAAAATTGACTTTTAATTTACCCCTACGAACTAAGTCTTACCATACCTAGCACAATATCTTTTTCCACCAATAATCTACCTATCACTTTTTATTTGTATCCATCATATCAAAGACGAAATTGGAAAGTCAACTCTAAATAACTCTTCCTTATTTTTGCATAAAGCCAATATAGGAACTGTTTTCCTAAAAAGTCATCCTTTTTTTCATTAAATGCTTCCCCATTTTTTAAATAATTCTTTTGTGGGGCTTATATTTACTCATCATTTTCTCTAATCTTTTATTTTAAAGCAACTTTTAACTTCAACCCTGAAAATTTCCAAACATTCCAAAAATAAACTACATATTACCCCCTTAAATTATCTAAATTTAAAAATAAATAAGGGGAAGCATTCATAGCTTCATAATCTCTTCACATCATCAATTTCAATGCATAGGTTTTGGAGAAGCATTTGGGTTGTAAATGATCTAAAACACTTCATTTCAGATTTCAAAATTCATACCATTTCTCTCAGATATTAGTTATCAAAACTCATATTAGGCCCGTTGGTACACGGAATTCAAACTATATTATTGGAATTGAAGACTTCAATTCCAATTCTAATGTTTGGTAGGACCAAACTTATGTGAATTTGGAATTGATAGTGCAAAAATTAAATTGGAATTGGTAATTTCAATTCTATGGAATTGAATCTCATGGAATTTCAATTCCAATTCAATTCCAATTCTATCAATTCCATATACCAAACGGACCCTCATATTAATCCTTTGAAATTCAATAAATCGCTTAGGATGAAATCGTTTATTTGGAAGGTGTCGAAAAACAAACACCGTTTATATTTAAAAACTACTCCGTAGAAGAGAGGGAAATACCAAACAAAAATTGAATTTAATTACTCCGTATTTATTTATGTTAATAATGTGAGTGGTTTTATTTCAATACTATATATCCAGGATTTGGAAGGATGTGCCCATTTTGCTTTTGATCAGCATGCTAGCATATTTTTGTTTCTTGGAGCAGCTTCTGGTACTATTTTTTGCATTTCTTACCCTCTCCCCGAAAGTCGTCTAACCAAACAATCCCTTAATGTCAACAAAGAACTCCTCTATAAGGTAATTTATCTAAATAAGACTAAAACATAATGATTTTCTCGGGCCATATGTTTTTATTTCCCAATGTAAGTCTATTGGTCATTATCTGTTGGGATATTTGATTAAATAATCAAAAGAAACAAAAAAAAAAAGAAAGAAATCAATGGAATCAAATTGCGTGTGGATTTTTTTGATGGAAGGGAATCAAATTTTGGACTCTTGTGCTTGTGGTCATTTGCAGGAGTACTTCCCTTGGCTTTAAAAGCCATGCATGGTCTTCTTAGTAAGTATACACACGGCTAAGGAAAAAGAGGGAAAGGGTGTGAAGAGAGAGGTGCTACACAAGATATCACCAATATTGTGTGAGTGAGTGTAGGGAGTAACTGGTTTTAGTTACTCAGAAAAATACATCCGGGCATAGGGTGTGAAAAGTCTGTTTATAAGTGTCTAGTATTTAGCACTTGTAAACAGGGAGAGTTTTTTGTGTATCATTCTGAAATAGTGAAGATATAATTTTTCTCTCATATATTCTTCTTGTGTTTGTTCTCTCATTTTTCTGGTATTCTCAATATTTTTCGGTATCTTACGCGCTTAAAATCCCAACAATTGGTATCAGAGCCAAGTTACATTTGGGGCGGAGGGATTTCTAAGCGGTAAGAGAAGAAAGTCGAAGAACTTGAAAAATGGCATCGGTGAAAAGTTCGAATGTTTCCGTCGAACCTTTCGATGGACGTGGTGATTTTACTCTGTGGCAACAACGAGTAAAAAGTGTTCTTACTCGGGAAGGGACAATCAAAGCTCTGAAGGTGAAGGTTCAGAGGACAGAAAAAATGACGGATGCTGAGTGGGCCAAACACCGGAAGAACGACAAACCGGAAAAATTGTCGGAAGAAGAGTGGGAGGATTTGAAGGACATGGCAACAAGTACAATATGCCTATGCCTTGCAAATAATACTCTTCGGGAGGTTCTCGGTTTGACGGACCCGGTGGATATTTGGGACAAGCTGGAGAGCCGGTACAAGTCGAAATCGTTGACAAGTAG